ACATCTTTATAAGACTGAGCTGAAAACAGCACCTCAGACTGAGGAAGTCTTTCGGATGAAAGACGAAATGTTTCTACATTTTTTTTGTTTTGCTTTGTTTTGTTTTTTGAATGTTCAGAGGACCAGATTTAACTTTTATAGATGATAACAGTAGATATAAAATATATTACTGTAAATGTATAGTTAATGTATATCATATAATCTGCCAGATTTCCATTTGAAATAAAATGCCTCTCATTTACAAAAATACCAAAACAAAGTTTGCCAGTAAAAACTAATAAAAATGAATAATATGAGTCTGATAGCGGGCTGGATTCAGGTCTTGTGCGTCCGCTGTTTCCCTCTAACCTATAATCTGTTTCAGGAAAAGGATTATGACCAGGCTGACCGATATGCTGACCTCGCCATGAACGCTGATCGTTACAACCCTGCAGCTCTTATCAACAAGGGCAATACCGTGTTCCTCAAACAGGACTATGAAAAGGCTGCAGAGTTTTACAAAGAGGCTCTGAGAAATGATTCCTCGTGCACCGAAGGGCTCTATAATCTGGGTAACCTTTGCTTTTTAGCATTCAGAAGGGATTTTTATGACGAGGAGGCTGATTTAAAGCACAATGACATTAACTTAAATCACATTGTGCACAGTATTTAAAAGAACCCACCAAGTGACTCTGTCTTATTTTAAAGTCATTTCAGGTCAGATTTTAAGCTTCTGCTATGAAAAGTGGGTCGGTCAGTGAAGCCCTGACCACAGATTTAGCTTTGTTTGTGTATCAGGTCATAAACTTAACTGTGGACCATTGGAACAAGTGAACAGTTCAATAAAGACTTTTCTACCTGTAAATAACCCCAAACTACCATATCTTGTTACGAACACTCATGATTGGGTTTAGACAGGTATTATAATGGAGCACCAACAGACCAGCAATCATCAGAACCACACTTACACTTAGACAAATGTACACAGATGTCTACTCCACGATCCATCCATCCATTTTCTTCCGCTTTACCGGGGTCGGGTCACGGGGGTAGCAGCTTAAGTAGGGAGGCCCAGACTTCCCTCTCCCCAGCCACTTGGTCCAGCTCCTCCGGGGGAATCCCGAGGCGTTCCCAGGCCAGCCGAGAAACATAGTCCCTCCAGCGTGTCCTGGGTCTTCCTCTGGGTCTCCTCCCGGTGGGACGTGTCCAGAACACCTCACCAGGGAGGCGTCCAGGAGGCATCCTAACCAGATGCCCGAGCCACCTCAACTGGCTCCTCTCGACGTGGAGAAACAGCGGCTCTACTCTGAGTCCCTCCCGGATGACTGAGCTTCTCACCCTATCTCTAAGGGAGAGCCCAGACACCCTGCAGAGAAAACTCATTTCGGCCGCTTTTATCCGTGATCTTGTTCTTTCGGTCACAACCCAAAGCTCGTGACCATAGATGAGGGTAGGAACGTAGATCGACCGGTAAATTGAGAGCTTCGCCTTTTGACTCAGCTCTGTCTTCACCACGACAGACCTGTACAGCGCCTGCTTCACTGCAGATGCTGCACCTATCCGCCTATCGATCTCACGCTCCATTTTTCCCTCATTCTTGAACAATACCCCAAGATATTTGAACTCCTCCACATGGGGCAGGACCTCCCGACCCGGAGAGGGCACTCTACCCAATTTCGGCTCAAGACCATGGCCTCGGATTTGGAGGAACTGATCCTCATCCCGGTCGCATCACACAAACTCCCACGCACCCTCCAGGACCCTGCTGAGGGTGAAGAGCTGGTCCAGTATTCCACGACCAGGACGAAAACTGCACTGCTCCTCCTGAATCCGAGGTTTGACTAGCCGATGGACCCTCCTCTCCAGAACCTTGAATAGACCTTACCAGGGAGGCTTAAAAGTGTGATCCCCCAGTAGTTGGAACACACTCTACAGTCCCCCTTTTTGAATACAGTATGTACAATATGTGTATAATACAAAATACAAATGTCAAATTCAAATACAATAAAAATGTCTACTACGAAACATAAATTTCTTATTTCTAAATAAAGAAATAAGAATATCTTCCATGCATTTAGATAAATTTAAATAACCACCTACCTTGGATTGCAGTGTTCTTAAGAGGCTAACATTACTGTAAACATTACTCAAAGCTAATGTACCGTTTCCCTTTTTAACCCAGGTCTGACCTATAAGAGACTGGACCGTTTGGAGGAAGCTCTGGATTGTTTCCTGAAGCTTCATGCCATCCTGAGAAACAGTGATCAGGTTATGTATCAGCTGGCCATTCTGTATCCTGCTCAAAACAAGAGGTGTGATTTAATGCACATACAGGTGCTGGTCATAAAATTAGAATATCATGAAAAAGTTTATTTATTTCACTGATTAAATTCAAAAAGTGAAACTTGTATTTTACATTCATACATTACACACATACTGATATATTTCAAATGTTTATTTCTTTTAATGTTGATGATTATAACTGACAACTAATGAAAACCCCAAATTTAGTATCTCAGAAAATTAGAATATTATTAAGACCAATTTAAAAAAAATGATTTTTAGAAATGTTGGTCAACTGAAAAGTACGAACATGAAAAGTACGAACATGAAAAGTACAAGCATGAAAAGTACGAACATGAAAAGTACGAACATGAAAAGTACAACCATGAAAAGTACGAACATGAAAAGTACGAACATGAAAAGTACGAACATGAAAAGTATGAACATGAAAAGTACGAACATGAAAAGTACGAACATGAAAAGTACGAACATGAAAAGTACGAACATGAAAAGTACGAACATGAAAAGTACAACCATGAAAAGTACGAACATGAAAAGTACAAACATGAAAAGTACGAACATGAAAAGTACGAACATGAAAAGTACGAACATGAAAAGTACGAACATGAAAAGTACGAACATGAAAAGTACGAACATGAAAAGTACAAACATGAAAAGTACGAACATGAAAAGTACGAACATGAAAAGTACGAACATGAAAAGTACGAACATGTACAGCATCAATACTTAGTTGTTGCTCCATTTACCTGGATTACTGCATCAATGCGTCGTGACATGGAGTGGATCAGTGTGTCTCTCTGCTCAGGTGTTATGAGAGCCCAGGTTGCTCTGACAGTGGCCTTCAGCTCTTCTGAATTGTTGGCTCTGGTGTATCACATCTTACTCTTCACAATACCTCATAGATTTTCTATGGGGTTAAGGTCAGGAGAGTTTGCTGGACATTTAAAAACTGGGACACCATGATCCTTAAACCATGTACTGGTAGCTTTTGCACTGTGTGCAGGTGCCAAGTCCTGTTGGAAAATGAAATATGCATCTCCATACAGTTGGTCAGCAGCAGGAAGCATTTTTTCTTCTTCTTTCAGCTGCTCCCTGCGTTAGGGGTCGCCACAGCAAACTAAGTCGCATGAAGACTTGGCAGTTATTTTTACGCCGGATGTTCTTCCTGATGCAACCACAGACCACCGAGCTACCACAGTCCTCTGTGTGGAGCAGAGAGCTGCTATCTAGGACACCCGGAGGAGCACATGGTGGAGGTTAAGGGCCTTGCTCAAGGGCCCAGAGTGGGACGAATGAGGGTGGGGGCAGGTGTGGGTGCTTCACCTACCCCACCCACATTTTTGATGTTGTCAGTACCAGGGCTTGAACCGACGATCTTCCGATCACAGGCCCACCTTCTCTAACCTCTGCGCCACCACTCCACCACGGCAGCATGAAGCATGACATCTCTAAAACTTCCTGGTAGATGCTGTGTTGACCTTGGACCTCAGAAAACACAGTGGACCATCACCAGCAGACATAGCCCCAAACCATCAGTGACTGTGGAAACTTGACACTGAACCTCAAGCAACATGGATTCTGTGTCTCTCCTTTTCCTCCAGACTCTGGGACCTTGATTTCCAAAGGAACTGCAAAATGTAATTTCATCAGAGAAAATAACTTTGGACCACTCAGCAGTAGTCCCAGGCGAGACACTTCTGATGCTGTCTCTTGTTCAAGAGTGGCTTGACACAAAGAATGTGACAGCCAAAACCCATGTCTTGCATACGTCTGTGCGTGGTGGTTCTTGAAGCACTAACTCCAGCTGCAGTCCACTCTTTGTGAATCTCCCCCACATTTTGGAATGGGTTTTATTTCACCATCCTCTCCAGGGTGCAGTTATCTCTATTGCTTGTACACTTTTTTTCTACCACGTTGTTTCCTTCCCTTCACCTCTCTATTAATGTACTTGGACACAGAGCTCTGTGAACAGCCAGCCTCTTTAGCAATGACCTTCTGTGTTTTGTCCTCCTTGTACAAGTTGTCAATGGTCGTCTTTTGGACAACTGTCCAGTCAGCAGTCTTCCCCATGATTGTGTAGCTACAGAACTAGACTGAGACCATTTAAAGGCCTTTGCAGGTGTTTTGAGTTAATTATCTGATTAGAGTGTGACACCAGGTGTCTTCAATATTGAACCTTTTCACAATATTCTAATTTTCTGAGATACTGAGATTGGAGTTTTCATTAGTTGTCAGTTATAATCATCAACGTTAAAAGAAATAAACATTTGAAATATATCAGTCAGTGTGTAATGAATGGATATCCAAGTTTCACTTTTTGAACGGAATTACTGAAATAAATCAACGTTTTCATCATATTCTAATTTTATGACCAGCTCCTGTGTTTTGCACTGGGTTAAAAAAAAATTTGCATCAGCAGATGTTGCCCTGACTGTTATAGTCCTGCTACTGTGCACCCCCCACACACATATACTGGTTTTGCTGAATTAGAAGGACAATTTTTTTCAAACACACACTCTCAAACGGTGTGCTGGGCTCACCCCCTCCTGTGTGAAGAGGATCTTATTCAGGGACTGTGTAAGCATCTGTCAGTCCATAACATTTTGGTCACAGTAACGAGCTGCTGGGAGATCCTCAGCAGGCAATCGAGTGGCTGATGCAAGTCATCAGTGTGACTCCCACTGACCCCCACGCATTGGCCAAACTGGGAAAACTGTATGATGATGAAGGAGACAAGTCCCAGGCTTTCCAATACTACAGTGAGGTATGAAATGTGACTTTGCTACATGATAAATAAACGTGTACGTTTTCGGCCCTGGTTAATATAAAGTGTTCTAAAGTCCTACAGGTACTTTCCCTGCAACATTGATGTGATCGAGTGGCTCGGGGCTTACTACATCGAGACACAGTTCTGTGAGAAGGCCATCCAGTACTTTGAAAGAGCCACACTCATACAGTAAGTTACCACAGTTTATATTGTAAAAGATTGTGGCACAGCAAGTAAAGGTCCAAATGGACCCGTGTAAAATCAACATTTTTTATACATAACTTATGAAACAAGCCCCTTTAATTCTTCATTTTTAATTCAAATCTGAAAAACGGTATCAAATGTTAACACTGCTGTTTTGATAGACCAGTTCAATTCATTTTTATTTTACAGCACAAAATCAAATCAATAAAGTAGCAGGTTTCCCTGCGCATGTGGAGCATGCAAGTTGTTAAAATAAGCTAAATGCATTTTTTTCCTCACTAAGTGACATGCCTTTTTTGTTGAAATAAATCCAATAAAATAATCAAGGTAAATGCAGGTCTATTTCTACAAAATAATAGATCCAAGAACCTAACCTCCTAGGTATCCTGATGCATGCTCAATAATCCAGGTAGACCTCCTACCTAACCTCCTAGGTGTTCACTTCAGGTTTAGTGTTTGTACTAACTGGATATTTTCCTGCTGTTTCACAGACCAGCGCAGGTGAAATGGCAGCTAATAGTGGCCAGCTGTTTCAGAAGAAGTGGTGAGAATTAAACATGTTTTATTTGACTTTTCATCAAAGCTAATCAACAAAGTCACCTGGCACAGTTCAGTAAAGGTTTAATCCTTATCGTTTTGTTTCAGGAAACTATCAGAAAGCTCTGGAAACTTATAAAGAGATCCATCGCAAGTTTCCAGAAAACGTAGAATGTAAGTCACTTTTCAGAAGGACTCTCAACCAGCATCAAACTCTCCACTGGTCAGAGTATGAAGATGGTCAAACATCTGCATGTGCTTGTGTTGAGGTTTGCGGTTCCTGGTGAGGCTGTCCACAGACATGGATCTGAAGGAAGTCCAAGAATATGCCACCAAGCTGAAGAAGGTAGAGAAGATGAAGGAGGTCAGAGAGCAGGTAAAGTCTTGTAGTTAACTTTTAAACTAGAAGTTTGCAGCACTTGTTCTGCAGGGTTGTGTCATTTGTTTCTATGTTGATGTGGCAAGTCTTCATGGATTATCCTGATGCATGCTCAATAATCCAGGTAGATGTCTTCATGGATTAGTTTTATAGCTCTGATGGCAAGAATGTTTCACTAACAATGCAGTGTCTGGTTTTTACTCCTGTTTTACTAATCATTTGCACTCAGTATCTGGTTATTCTCCACGTCAGATTTGTTATTTTATATCTATATATATTGTTATTGTTATATCCTTATTTCATTAGATAACTCTTTGCTTCCTGTTTGTTGACCTTTGGATGTGAAGCTTTTGTATTTTCAGATTTGTATAACTGTAATGTTGTTTTTTATGTAAAACAACCACAGTGGAGTTTTAGGCACATTTCTTCAATACAACATAATTTAAACACAATTTATTTGTAACTGCACCAGTTTCTAATATTCCTCACTAGAAACCATATATTCCTGCCTTTTGTTTGTTTTTATGAAGGCAGCAGTGCAGGAGGTTGTTCCTCTTCCTCCGTTTCTTCTATCTCAGGAGACCATAGACCATGTTCATGCAACCAGTCCTGGTCTTTAAGAAGCGTAAACTTTTAGCACTAGTGGTAAATTACATAAGTATGGGTGGGTTTTCCTCTGAATGCACGTATAAAGTCCTTTTTTTGGCACAGAGAGATCCTGTTTGATTGGCAGCTCATGTAGAAGTTCAAATCACACTTTGTGAGGGCTTTGATTATTAGACAAATGTACTAAATTCTGATTGCACCCTTCAAAGATGTGTGGTCTTTTGATATTTCTGACATGAATGGGTTTTTTTTTTTGGACAGCCTTTGCTTCATATTTTTTGTGAGGAATCGGAGATAAACAAGTTGTTTGTTTAGCAGTTAAACAGGCTTTCCATTAAATTCTGACTTAAAGAGAAAACAGAATAAAAGAGAAGCAGAAAACACCAAATGTCAGAAAAGGTAAATATTTTACCACCCAAATTAATTCAAAATTTTAAAAAGAAGTATGGTTTCCTGAGTACGAGTTTACAGTGTTGACATCATGATGACTGGCTTGCTTAAACTGAAGACGTACATTACAGAATGTTAATTTCCTGTCAATCATATTTTCATCGTAGCTTATTCTGTTTGACATCAGGAGAGGGCTGATTGAAAACATTTGGGTGTTCTTTTGCACTAAATTTGGTCAGTGACAACTGCAGTTTTTTGTTTATTTTTTAATTTCCCGTTGATTTTCTGTGAATCAGATTGTACTGATGGAGAAGCAGATGCTAAACAGCTGTTTAACGGTGCAAGTCACTCTGTCAGATGTCAGTAAGCTGGAGTCTCATAAGACATCTTTATTGTTTAGAGAAATGTTCTTAGATTTGATCCAAGTTTGTATTGTTCAGTCATTTGGAACATCTGATTAGCTTGGATAAGTGTTAGGAATGGATATAACCTGCCAAGGTGGATGATGTGTTAGGTTATGTATTTTATTCTTCAAATTCCAACTTCATGAAGAGCTTAGATAGCACCAAAGCAAAATTGAAGCAGCAGAAAACGTATAAAAGATTGGTTTTGTGACTGAAGATTCAAAAGGCTTTCCACAACTACAAATTGTGGAGAAACAGTGATAAAACTGAACTCAGTTTCCAAGACAACAGCAACATCTGTGCTCACAAGTGGGATTTATGAACTTCACTCCATTCCGCTCTCAACAAAAGCTAAGCAGGAAGATCATCTGAAGCTTTAAAAGTTGGTAAGCTCTGGTAAGCGACAACAATAGACAATTATAAAAGATGGCAAAAAAAGTTGTAAAAACAGCTAGATTACAAGGCAAATGTAGAAAACTAAAAACAGGAACATGTCTGGCTCCACTGCACACCTGTAGAAGGAGGTGAGGACTGAGCTTCCCAGACCAGCTCGCCTTAGCCGCCTGAGGAAGTAAAGTCTCTGATGAGCTTTCTTGGACCAGGCTGTTTGTGTTGTTGCCCCAATGTATGTATATACAGGTCCTTCTCAAAAAACTAGCATATTGTGATAAAGGTCATTATTTTCCATAATGTAATGATAAAAGTGAAACTTTCATATATTTCAGATTCATTGCACACCAACTGAAATATTTCAGGTCTTTAATTGTTTTAATACTGATGATTATGACATACAGCTCATGAAAACCCAAAATGCCTGTCCCAAAAAATTAGCATATTTCATCCCACCAATGAAAGACAAGTGTTTTTAATACAAAAAACGCCAACCTTCAAATAATCATGTTCAGTTATGCACTCAATACTTGGTCGGGAATCCTTTTGCATGAATGACTGCTTCAATGCAGCGTGGCATGGAGGCAATCAGCCTGTGGCACTGCTGAGGTGTTATGGAGGCCCAGGATGCTTCGATAGCGGCCTTAAGCTCATCCAGAGTGTTGGGTCTTGCGTCTCTCAACTTTCTCTTCACAATATCCCACAGGTTCTCTGTGGGGTTCAGGTCAGGAGAGTTGGCAGGCCAATTGAGCACAGTAATACCATGGTCAGTAAACCAGTTACCAGTGGTTTTGGCACTGTGAGCAGGTGCCAGGTCGTGCTGAAAAATGAAATCTTCATCTCCATAAAGCTTTTCAGCAGATGGAAGCATGAAGTGCTCCAAAATCTCCTGATAGCTAGCTGCATTGACCCTGCCCTTGATAAAACACAGTGGACCAACACCAGCAGATGACATGGCACCCCAGACCATCACTGACTGTGGGTGCTTCACACTGGACTTCTGGCATTTTGGCATTTCCTTCTCCCCAGTCTTCCTCCAGACTCTGGCACCTTGATTTCCGAACGACATGCAAAATTTGCTTTCATCCGAAAAAAGTAACAAAAGTAACAAAACAGCCACTGGCCAAAAGGATGGCCCAGCACAGAAGATCAACATCATCAGGCCAGGACTCTGCGGTGTACACTCATCTCCAGGCCAGCGGTCACTCTTTCAGGGATGAAGATGTGCATATCCTGGATAGAGAGGAACGATGGTTTGAGAGAGGAGTAAAGGAGGCCATCTTTGTGAAAAGAAATCGTCCATCGTTAAACAGGGGTGGAGGCCTACGTGTTCAACTCTCCCCCTCTTACAATGCTGTGATTGCTAGTATCACTCAGCCCTCTGTGAACAGTAAACAGCCATCAGGTGCTAATGATCCATTGTTAGGCTGATGGTCCTTCTTGATCATGTGATCAGCTGGTTTTGGTTGTCAGCAGCAAACTGGTTGATCCACTCTGAGAAGGTGCTATTTAAGAGACTGAGCTGAATACAGCACCTCAGACTGAGGAAGTCTCTCGGATGAGAGACGAAACGTTTCTACATTTTTTTTGTTGTTTTGCTTTGTTTTGTTTTTTTTGTTTTTTTGAATGTCCAGAGGACCAGATTTAACTTTTTAAGATTCATAATATAAATTGATTCAAGCTCATTATCTATCCATCCATCCATCCATTATCTTTACCCGCTTATTCCATTTTGGGTCACGGGGGTCGCTGGTGCCCTTGTCCAGCAATCACTGTGCGAGGGGCGGGGTACACCCTGGACAGGTCGCAAGTCCATCACAGGGCCGCTCATTATCTAAGTAATCTTAAATATTCCTAATATTAAAGGTCCTAATATTGCACCTTAGCACACAATATAATATTTCACCATTTCAATGTACCTCAATTTAAATGCTTCAATGTTAACACTAGGAGCTAGTTAGTTATTGCAAGAGGCTTATTTTTCCATTATCCGGATACAATACAAATGCAGGTGTTCAGAAATAGTAGAACAATACCATC